GCTGGAAAACAGGCCAAAAGCGACCTTTTGGAGAGTCCAGACACATGCCAGGAAGGGAAGAGGCTCGGGAGAAGCTTTCCCAAGCACTTTTGCTAGGCAGGTGCCTGCAATGGAGGAGGCCTCCATCACCCGCTCTCCTCCAGCGCTGTCGGCCTGATCCCGGGCCCTCTGCGCCGCGGGATGCTCCTGCTCCTGTGCAGCAGACATTTTCTTAATTGCTGGGAAACGTCAACAAATTAGAGCCATCCTATAATTTGGCAGGTTAGAAAAGCAGCTCTTAAAGAGCCTTGTTAAATAAATGACTTGCACCTTCACCTTAGGCTATTTTAAAAATTTATCTGTCTGCACTGCAGAGAGGAGGAGGGCTGCAGGCACAAATATACACACGATTCATGTTGAACATTTTGACTGCTGAATTAGTTAGAAATAAGCTACGATCTTTTGGGTCACTCATAAATCATTATGGGGAAATCGTGTTGGGGTTGTGGTCCCCAGGATAGTCACAGCTTTGTACCGATCCTCCAGCGATGGCATCTTTGTGTGGGATTTATGGAGATGCTGGTGAGGAAGGACCCCTCAGGACGCCACGTCCTCCTCGTGACAGCCAGAGCACTAAGGCCTAATTTACACACTGCTTCCCATCGGCATCTGTGCGCTTTTAATCAGGCCGATTCTAAAGTGCCCACTTGTCATGGAGCTGCAAATCAACAGATGCAAGAGCTACATGGGAGCTAGTATAAATACGGTAATTTTATATATAATACAAAATAATGGTGCTCCACCTCCCCTGTAAGCCAGAGTCACAAGACATTTATACTACACATCCTCAACAACAGGATTAATATAGCAGAATAGGGGCTGGTTGGATTCTTTCCTAAAAGGGAAAAGCATCAAGGAAAAGAGCTTCCAAGCTGCATCTGGACACAGCATCATAGATTTTCCTTGGCAGAAATGACGATCTTTTCCCCTGGGAAGCCCAAGGCGAGACACTCCGTGTCCCTCCTGCCTCCTGCCTCCACAGAACCCTCCAAGAGAAACCATAGGAGCATTTAGGATGTCTGAAAGAACACAAAGAAAACTCTAAGGGTTTTCACTGTTAACAGCCCTTGAGCAAGAGCTACTTTAGTTTCCCCAGTTTATCTGACTTGGATTTCACATTTGCCCCTTCCCTCTTCCAAAAGCACAACCTAGAACAGTCCCAAAGAGAGAACACTGTCCTGTGATGGCTACAGGCTTCACCCCACAGCAGTGACAGTGGATCAGAATTTACCTCCAGTGGACCTGCTATTTTGAGCAGACAGGGTTTCATTGAAGCAGCAAGGACTGGCCCATCACAACAGCCCATCACTGAAGGGAAGTCAGAGCAGTTTCAGCACAGGCAGGAGGAGCTGGTGGAGATGGGAAGCAGAAGATCTCTTGCAGTGGGTTGGGTTCAGCCAATGCAGGAAACAAGGCAGCAGAACACTTTCTGAAGAGCCTTGCAGGAAGGGAGGTCAGCTCTATCATTCCAAAGCACCTTAATGCAGAAACAAAAACAAACAAAAATAATGCTAATAATTTGGGATCAAGAAACACTTCAGAAGTGTACTGGTTGCCAAAGCTCATTGTAAAAATAAATAAATAAATAAATAAAGTGCTAAATATTCAGGCATGCTTTTTCCTTCAGTTTCATTTTTTTTTTCTCACCAGCAGTGCAGAGAGGCTGGAACTTAACAGTGAGCAGCAAGATTCCTCCAACACTAAAGCTGCAGATCATCACCTGCAGCTGACAGCAGCCTCTCGCATTAGCTCCCCAGTTGTCTTTGGTCAGAAGAGAGACCTACAGGAAACATTCATTCTGAGAGGTTACCAAATACGTAATGTATTTACTTGCCTGCATGGAAAGTTACTGCCGTAGCCACAGCTGGGATAGGCTGGGGAGGGACAAGAAGACTGCAATTACAAGATGCAGGAAGGCATCACTCCATTGCAGGGGAAGTTCAAGAGGAGTCACGCACACTTAATGAGTTTTATTAGCAGCAACAGAATTCCAAATTATACATTCACATAGCAGCTGTTCAGGTTCACCATAACATATTTAAGACCAACTGAATAAATAACAAGTAGAGCTCTGATGCAATGGACTTGCATACAGGTACCATCCTGATTAACATGCTCTAGGAATTGTTTACACATATAAATGGCCAGCCTGGATATTTTTTTCTCTCTGCAAAGTGCAGAACTTCACAAAAACACGAGGGCCTGACCTTCATGCCCCCGTAGGCCTAGCCCTCACCTTGGCATGCTCATCCTCCTCCCCAGTGCCATGGTTCATCCCTTGAGGTGTAGCTACAATGGAAACAGCAGCAAAGCCAACACCTGAGCAGCAGTGGCCACCTCAGCACCCTACAGGCCTCCAAAACAACCTCTATCAGTCACTAATTCCCAGTTCCCACCCCAAGGCATCTGTCCCAACCCCATTCTCTCCTTCCTGCTCCCCCAAGCACACAGCAGCATCACCCCTGTGGCCTCTGCACAACCACTGACCACACGAACTCAAAAGCTCTTCTGTATTACTCCCCCCACCACAGCTGCTACAGAGTAATTAAAAGAAAGAAGACTTCCACTTCATTAAATTAATAGTTTTATTTGCACCTGTTATAAGAACTGTTTGCCTACTGGTAGAGTCCAACATAGATGCGACATACAGACATGAATACAATTAAATACAGGACAAATGGAACTATATACAACAAGACATACATTTACAGAAAGAAAAAAATCTTTATATTATCTATCAGTTTTTGCCAATGTTGTCTGTTATACTGAAACATCACTGGAAATCAAATATATTGTCTTTGCTTTTTATAAAGATATAATGTAATGGTAGCATTTTTCCTTGTGGTACTGAGAGCTTAAAATTTGTTTTGAGATGCACAAAATTTGTGGCACTTCACCAGGTACACAAAGCTAGAAGCTTTTTTTTTCCTTGAATGTTTTATAGTTTGTGATATCTAAGACATTTATTGAGACCAAACTATAAAGTGATATTTACATGGAGAGAATTGTGCAAAGTCCTCTTAGGCTACAGCTAGTACACTGTGAAAGATGCACAAACACGTTACCCAACCTCATCCCCAGACCTAACCCCTTCAATCTCGCCTTCCCTATTGTACAGTAGCTCCTTAGTAAAACTGGCCATAAGTTGGGGGGCTTTTTTCCTTTTGTTTTCTTCCAGATGGTGGGAGAAAGCACATTTCTGTGGTCCTTAAATATCTAGACAGTTTTACATCTGGCTGCTACTCTTAATGCAATTGATGTTTTAAGCAATCTTTAGTGCTGTTTCATCAACTGATTTGCTTTTTGGGACACAAGTCACAGCCTGTGTTGTCACGGTCCTATCTTAAGATTGCCGAGTTCATTTGCATCCAGTTCACACTACCAAAGGGAAACACAGAGTTACTGAACATTTCTCTCTATTTAATGGCTCGAATGCAGAGCCTGCATTTTCATCACTAACAAGGCTGAGCCCAAGCGGTCCAGAGCTGGGCTGAGAAATTCTGCATTTCTTGGGCTGCCCTGTAGAGAACAAAACCTTCCTGCTTTGCTACACCCAGTAACACCCCTGCAGACTGAAATTTTCACTCTTGGGGTGCAATCATCGATCGAGAAGTTGAACCATCTAATCAGACCTCCATGTTTAACTTTCATTAAAAGCTTCCTACAGAGCCCTACTAGGACAGGTTAGCAAAGATGTATCAGGGATCAGCAGTGTTCACTAAAGGCATCCTACAACTGTGTTGCGCCAGAGCATAGAAAACGTATCTAATGCCTTTCATAACCAAACAACTTTCAGAAGTGGCAGACAGTTTAGTTTTGAACTGTTTTCCAGACTGTATTTCAACTTTTGCAAATGCTGCTTACTGCATAAGTGGACCATAAAATACTGATGTTAATAATCTCACCTACGTTAAATTATTATAATCCTGTTCATATTAGCCCGTTTGGGTCTTCCCATCAGCTTGGAGATTTGTACTGTTAACAGGTTTAAAGGAGACATTTATAACTCAGCCCTAGGGAGGAAAAAAAAAAACAAACAGTAACTGGTAACAGTGCATAATCTTGCTTCGTTTTAGCAACAAAATTCTGACGTAGGTTATGTAACTGACTTTTTTCAATTAAAGATGCACATTTTAACTTCCAAGGCAAAGGGAGATTAAATTTCTCTTTCAAAAAGCTTCCAAGTCAACATTACTACCAAACCTCATTTAAAGCCTCAGTTTTGCAAATTCATGGTAATGTATTTATTATTAATCCTGTACACCAGGCTAAAACCAGTCAGGTGTCAGTATAGTGACTGAAGAGAACAGTGAAGTGAATGCACTGAACTTCAAGCGTGATGCTGGGTACACTTGATAGAGTGAAAAAAAAAAAATCTGTCCACGTAGTTTGGTATTCAGCTGACAAAAGCAAAGGATACAATTTGCTGCTTATTCATCACAAGCAAGCCTAGAGAAGACTATTTTCTCCTCAGTTATAAGGAAAGAGAGCTACAGAACAATAGTAAACCCAAGAGACCATTTCGTCATGTTAGAAAATAAACCCAGTATTATCATTCAAATAAGGGAATCTTAGCAGTTAAGATGCTCAAAGAAATATTTTCACATCGTACATGTTGTCATTTGGCTCTGTACTTTCGATCTCATGGAGTTCATAGACATCTACACGTTCAAGCTGCCTGCTTAAAAAAATCCAGCTGCTGGTTAGCAGCAGGTTACTTTATTGCATTACCCTGGTTGTCGATTTAATAGTGATTTATGATTAAATGTTCACTTGTTACAGAACTTATACTATTTGGGCAAAGATGATTTAACAGAAAGCAATATGGAATGAGCATGGAATAGGATAAGAATGAAAGTATAATAAAACTGCAAGGTGTTCATCTGTTTATCTATTTAAAAGATAAATATTCCATATCTTTGTGTGATGATGGGAACAATTTAAAGAGTAAGAAATAACAAAATATTCAGACTCCTCTTATTCAAGCATTAAAAAAGTAGAAGGAAGTGGATTGGCTGCTTCATTTCCGATATAGGCTGCTGGTCTAGTTTATAGACAGTCAAATTTAACATAACCAGTGACATAAGCAGCAGCTTGGACCATAAAAAAGCTGTTTATATATGTACAAGTTACTCTCAAAAAATCTGTTTTATTACATTTGGCTGCGTGTACAACCTGTTGCTCCTTAAATCTTTAGAGCACTGAAAACATGACACGTTTTTCCAAAATTCCAGTTGAGTCTGTCCTGAGAAATCTAAGTACTCATATATAAATTGGATGATACTGTCTGTGAGTGAGTTTTTTCCTGCAGGTGGGGCAGGAGTTGGCATTCCTAAGGGAATCTCGGAGGCACTGGCTGCAGAAGACATGGCCGCATTTCGTTGACACAATAAGCCGTCCACTTTGCACAATCTGGAAGGAAAGAAATCACCCACAGTTATTTGGAAGAGATTTTAGCTGGTCTCTTCCTAGCAGGCAGATAGCCATAGTAATACTTGGATTATGTATAGGCATACAGATACCCAAAGCATAAAACAGGGAACCAAAATCTTTCAGTAACATCTTGGAAAGTCCTTTCCGTTACTGGACACTATTAAGTGACTGCATTACCAAGTCCTTAGACCTGGAAGCCAAGGCTGGACCTTAACGACAGCTGTTTGTGCTTTCCCCATGCACATGCACAGCGCGTCCCCCCCACAAACGAGCAAGGATGACAGCTCGGGCCCCTTACCTCTGAGTAGCCATCCATACAAATGGGACAGCTAACGGTACCTGAAGGCCTTGTGGTGGAGAAGACAAAAAAAGAACAGACACGTATTAATTCTGCAGCCTCCTGAGGATTACTGATATACAGGATGTAAAGTAATCGCTGGATTCCACAGAACAGACATGGCCTAGCTGATTTGAAGATCCCTGTGTACCTTCAACTGTTACTTTTAATAGGCAGTTAGGGTCTCCCTTACCTAAGGAAAACCCCCCTTTAGTTTTCATTCAACGACCACATTAAAGGGGAAGGAGGATGAAGATGCAGTTTGTCACTCTCCTCCCCCATTAAAAGTAACAGCAGTCGCTAGCAGCACATGTATAGTGGTCATCATCCTCAGACTGCACATAATTTATCTAACAAGAACACCCTAAGAAACTACCCAAAGTGGCTGACACAAAGTAAAGCAGCTCAAATTCTAGTTTAGCAGCATCCCAATCTATTAAGACACACAAGCCCAAGAACCCCTCCTTTCTAACAACGCACACTTCTGTGAGGCGTGTTCTGCAGAGAGCTTGGCTGTTTATGTACTGAAAGCATTTCACTGTCCCTCAAGCCCCCATGAAGGATATATTAGATAAGGTTTTCATACACACCAGAACAAAGGCTTTTTTTTTTTTTTTTTTTTTTTAAAGAAAAGGTTTTCTTCTAGAAAAAAGAATTACACAGTTTTAAGTTTTAACTCAGTGATCGAACATCTGAAGAAATCAAAATGTCTATGTTACACTGGAAATTACACTTTAGAAAGTCTAGCACATAACATTTACAAACATTCGGGGTGGGGAAATATATATATATATCTTCACTAATTTACCCTTGCCTAACCAAGTTTTTTGATATATTCAGAATACTGTGCATGCTGGAAATAAAATTCTGCATAGTTTGCCAACAGAGCTAAGCTACACATGACTTCTATATTATAGCTGCCAACTGTACATTTAACCAATTCATATCCAAAACCAGACTAAAAGCTCTGCAAGGACCTGCCAGGGCCATTCCTGAGCACAGCAGTATATTTAGGGTTGGGGCCCTCGAGATGCCTTAATGCGGGAAAACCTGTGACTAGTCCAGTCCCAGAGAGGATGGCTCTGGGCAGGTCAGGAAGAACACAGCTGCTTGAGGAAGCTTTCAGAAGTTAACTCCCAGCTCAGAGGAGACAGAGGCTGCTACAAGGCCGAGTCAGACGCCCTCCTGCCCTCAGCCTCTGGGACAGCGAACATCCACACAGCTGGCAGACATCACTGCTCCACCTAAAGGAGCACGCCCTCCTGGGAGTGCTAAACTCTGCTCTGTATCAGAAAGACTAAGAGCTTCCTGCCACTTTTAACCCTATTTTAGATGGTAAGTGCAAGCTGCTTCCATGGGCCCTTGCCACAAGCACCAGTGCTCCTTCTGCTGGCCTAAGCTCTACCACGTTATGTCACATGTCAAACACCCCCCTGTAATTTTTATTAGTAAGAGTAAAAATTCAGCCTTTATCCCTTAAAATCAGGTCAGTGAGTACTACTGAAGACTACCTAGCTTCGCATGTAATTTTAGCTCTAATTTCCCCATTTTCACTACTGAAATTCTGAATCTTTACATCAACTAAGCAATTTGATTCACTTATCTATACACTTGAAGACAAAAAAATATGAAATCTAGAAGTCCATCAACTAAATGCACTACATTAGGCACTTGGCATCCATAAGGTTCTTAAACCATTTAAGAACCGGTCTAAAAAATTTCCATATGCAGGTTCTTCTCTATATTGCCTTGAAAACAATCCAAAAGTCTTTAAATGAAACACCTAGAAGTAGCAAAAACCATAAAGCATAACTCAGCTGTGACACTGGGAACATTTCACTGCAGTCTTTTGTCAATGCCATATACCACCTAAATTTCAAAACCTATTTTACTGCCAGAGACAGTCATTTAATAGTAACGCTATAAGGCGGTCTACATAGTAACTCTGTCAGGGAGCTAGGCAAAACAGCTACATTAGAATCATTAAAATCTGTATCTTTTTAAACACTTTAAAGATGTTTATATATCCCTAGTCCCATATACACCTCATTTCGCTTAATTAGTCTTATACCCATTGTGTTTCTTAACATCGTGGAGTGTTTCTGCTGCAGGAATTTACTGTTTCTCTTCATAAAATGGTCCTTACTATGCAGGCAGCTCTCTAGACAGCGAGACACCCATCTCATGTGCAAATGTGCAAGAGCTCCATGACACAGGCAAAACCTTAACAGCAAGACCTGCACACTCAGTGTGCAAATACCCTTTGGGAAGCACTCTTACTGCTCCGAGAGAACAAGGCAGTTACTAGACACAACGTGTACAAACGCAGTACATACATCATAAGTATTTACTGGAATTGGCCAAGACGCAGCCTGTTGTTCTCACTTACCAAGCCTTATCTACACAAATGAAAATATTTGCATGTTTAACGGCACTGCAAGGCTACTGGGTGAAAAGGAGAGGCTATGAACTATGGCCTGTGACTAATATTTCTTCCCTGCCACACTCCTACATTCACCTTGGAGGTTGTATGTGTAATTGCATGTCCTTCATTCTCTGTCTTTTTTATTCTAAAACTGAGAAGAGCCATTTTAGCAGTATTTGGAATGTGATCCTGTGCATATTGAAGAGGGCAACTACACAGAATAAGCTATGATTTCAAAAACACACCAGATTATAATACAAGTTAGTTCTATATGTATAAAATAATTCGGTGTTTATTAGGTTGTAATGAATACATACTTTGAACTTGCAGTTTCATCCTCCAGTGGTCCCAAGTCTTGAGACACTTTGTTTGTTACATACACATCATTATCTCTCGGCTCATCTTCATCATCACTGCTCAATACACAGCTGTCCGACTGCCGCTGGCTCCTTAGTCTGAGATTTCTCCTCTGTCGTTGATTCTCTGTAATTTAATTTTGGCAAGTTAGATCTACTATGAGTACCAGCCCTGGAAACAACCTTGAAATGAATTATTAGGAATAGCCCTTAACTGTTCACATTTTAAAAGAAATTAATTTTTTTTTAGTCCATAAATATTAAGACTGAATGTTTCCAGGTATTATGAACATTCAGTTACATGATTATTCATTTGCTCTAATCACCCTACAAACAGCTAAAACGTGATCTCAAAGACTATATGTCTGCATATAGATACACTTAAGTAGACCCTATCTATTTACTGGCTGTCACTACAGCTCCAATACAAAGCAAAACTACCTCATTCTTATGCTTTGTTGAGAAATTACAACTGCTAATGAATTCAAGAACACCCCTACCAAAACTGAAGGGTTTAAAAAAAAAAAAAAAAAAAAGCACACACACCCCTTTCAAGTGACACAGCAAGAAACAAAAGGCAAAAGCAGACAGACACGTTGCATGAGATTAGAAAGGGGTGGGGGGGAATGTGCATGGGGGCAGGAAAACAAGTTTCCAGGAGCCAGTTGTGTCTCAGGGATTATTCACTACATGCATACACTCCCCACAATACCTTGTTCTGATTACCAAAGTTTAAAATAAATAGCTCTCATGATCAAAGTCTGAAGTAAGAGTTGTGAAAAACAGATTTAAGTCTAAAAAAATAAATTAGGCAGTTGCTATATTTAGTTTCTCACTGCTCTATCCAGCTACTAAGGCCAAAATGTTCTACTCTTTCTGTCCCCTCACGCAAAAGCGATTCAACAAAATGAGTCTTTTAAAAAAGAGTATCTAGAAAAGCGTAAAATATTTACAACTTCTTCAGAGCTGTCTCCTTAAGACATTTCACCATCTTTCTCCTGAAGGGAGGTACCATAACTTGGAAATGGAGTTCATAATGCCCAATATAAGAGCAGAGAAAGAATGTAAACATTCTCAATTGCCTGGTTTGTAATATGCAAAGGCTGAAGAACTGCTGTTTGTGTTAACTATTAGATATTACATAAAACAGGTTTTTTTTTTTTTTTTTTTTGCAGCTCTAGTGTTCATGTAATAACTAAGCACTGATCAACTAGTACTGGATAAGCAGCTACAAAATCGAAGTTCCTTCCACATAAGCATTCAGCTAATACTAATATTGCATTTTTTACTTGCTCTTGTCTAATTCAGAGCCCAGAATGGATTATGTCCTCTAAGAATAGAGCTAACAAACATAGGAGAACATTTCAGATCTTTTCATCAGAACAAGGCCTGAAAAATAAGGCCTGAAAGGTGTAAAGGACTGATTTTTCATGCCTATTCAATAATTACTATAATACAAAGCACAAAAATCCACATTTGTTAAATATTTTTCAGCACTAGATTTGAAAGTGTTAGACTGGACAATGAAAGTGAATGCTACGACTTCATTCTCTTTCTCCTTTAGTTGCTTCACTGCAATTTAGGCTAATAAAGCCTTTTAACATTTTCTTATTCAAAGCACACACTCCATAGCTAAACCTGCTAATTAATATAACTGTCAACTTGGAGCTTGCAGAACTTCTACATCTGGAAAATAAGAAAAGTATTTTGATTGTTTTTATAGATTTTATTTCAGATAGTTCCTATCAGAGCTTGTATAAAATACATAACACAGACTGAATCCATTTTTCTAACATACTGGCAAGACACCAGAAAAGGAAAGAAGATGTAAAGTAAATCTAGTTTCAATCCTTGATGCTCAAGTAAATGTTGGAAAATAAAATAAAAATTAAAGATACTAGTCAACACATTATCAGCTTCCTTACCTTATTAAAGTATTACAAAAATGTTTAAAACGTGTAAAATGTCAACTCACCTTCTACAATCTTGCAATAATATATGTGGGAAGAGAAAAGAAAAACAAAATTAGATTTTGGCATGCACCCCAAACGTTCCAAACATCAGTTAAGCAACCCCCATTTCATTTCTTTGCATGGGCAGAACCAGAAGGCAACCAGTTATTTTCTGAGCTAATTTACTACTTCTACCATTCTTCATCAAAACAACACAGTGATACCTTATGATTGCTAGCCTGTGTTACTACCAATTGGTATCATCTTAAACACTCCTCACCCCACAACATCAATAGCCTAGTTTGATTTAGGCTTGAGGAGGTTCTTTGCCAAACAGGGAAGCTTGAGTGTCACGTCCATAAGCACTTCCCACTGGGTTAACAACTGCTGAAGAAAACTGTCGTTCCACAGAAGGCAGTGGTGGAATTTGAGTTCAGACACTGTGGGTTACATGTAAAATTTGAGGCCTCTTCGTTATAAAGCCTCAGGTACAGCTCCAGCATGTGACATTCCTGATCTATTCCAGCTTTTTCTCTCTGGTTCTGGCTCCAAACACTGAAGTTCTAAATGGCAACACGGATCAGATCAAACACTGATCTGCTTTAAAAGGCAAAAAACAGTAACAAAGAAATGTTGTGGTTCCTTTTTACATTTGTTTTTGAGAACTTACTGGAGCACAAAACTGAACTAGTTTCTAACATAATCATAGAATTTTTAAGGTTGGAAGGCATCTCTAGAGATCATCTAGTCCAATCAGCTAAGTTTTGCTGCAGTCACAGGAATACCTTACATTGGCATTGCAGCTAAACACCTCCTATTTGTTACATTGAAGACTTAACAGTTGTCTCCTTCAGTTTTTATTTACATCATTGGCCTACATCTTTGACACTTAAGACTTCAATTTTAAATGATATCCATTTATGTTATCCATGTCTGGCATATACCTTTCCCAAGTTTTGGAGCAATACGCTATCTTAGATCTCTATCTGCAAGTGATATTAACAGATGTTTTCACAGGTATTTTTGAACATGCATCTAAAGTATTTATAAAGACAGTGTTTTAATTCAGCTGGGCTATTTTAATGCCAGAAGAGAGACCCAAAGGCTGAGCTTTAGAAAGTCCGATGTTGGTCAACGGTAACACAAAGCCAGTCTTGCCAGCGTGGAGTCTTCAAGCTTATTCTTACTTCTACATCCAATACATCCATTTACTTTCACAGTACAATCTTTAAATATAGGTTAGATATGCATTTCCACAGAACTCCTCAGTGCCTTAATACTGTCTTCCTGACTCCTCATGCTTAGCAATTTTCAGTAAGATTTTTCAGAAATATTCATGACTGAGTCATGACAAGTGTATCAGACTTCCTTTGATCCTTAAACTAGAGGCAATACAGGTAGTACCTCGTTATTAAAGAAAATGCACTATAAGCAGTGAGTAAACTCACTGCCTGGGCATTACGGTCTAAATAGCTACCCTGTTCCAAACCCCAAAAAGCAGTATCAGAACATGGTCACTGTACAGTTCAGGTGCCTTCAACATTTAGTTAGCCAGGGGCCTATATTCTCAAAGAGTGTTTTACCTACATAGCATTTATTATCATGTCAGCACAGCAAAAAGGCATGTCCAGCTCTAGTCTAAATTCTTGTATAAATAGACATTGGAGGAAAAAAAAAAAAAAAAAAAAAAGGGCATATCTACAACGCCCTGGGAACATAAGAAATAAGAAAAGCATGTTGCTCTGCCTGAGAGCACTCTGTTAAGCAACATTTCCCCAAAGCTTCTGTATTGACCTGTAGCACACAGTTTTCATGTGTTAAGAAGCCAAGTTTGAGCCTGGAATATTTAGGCTTTAAGGACAAATTCTATCAGTAAGCACAATACAGAACTAATCTGACAATTTACAGAAGATCACTACTCACCACAACAGAGTCACTGTGAGTTAGATCAACTACTACAGGATCAGAAGATTCACATGTGAGATCTACTACTTCTTCACCAGCTTAAAAACACAATGTTAAAATCAACATAAGAGTTTGCAGAGTAAAATGAACTGCCACTGTATAACAAGTTAGTGTGATTCAACCCACAGCCTATTCTTCTTCAGGATTATATGCAACACATAAGCACTCTCCTCAATGGAGGAAAAGTAGCAGATCTCCTCACATATTCCTGTTATACGTCAATAGCCTGTGGAAAGTACACCAGAGCATTTATCTAATTTAGAGAATGTGTATCACAATATAAGTCATATCAGACAGTTCTCCAGTGCTTTGCTGTGAATGTTTTCATCTTATATCTTGTACATTTAAATGTACAAATAATACAAAAGCCATTGTAGACTACCTGGAGACCAGGTTACTTTTAATCCTTCTAAGATTTCAGTAGATGGTTTAAATGTCTAGAAGATTAAAGAGGCTTCTAAAATTCTGATACTTTTTGTCAAAATATATTTACCTAGGGCCTCTCCTTTGAGAGATGGACATGAGTAATGACAACCTTTTAATCATCTCCTTAAAAATTGGGAGTTGCCATACTTAGTTTGCCACTATCTGTAACAGCAGCTGCAACACCTCCCACCTCATCAGGCCAAACATTCATCTACCAGACAGCACTCACGTACCACTCTTAGAAAACTCATCTAGCACAAGTGGTGAATGCATCACACCTCAGGAACAAACTTAAACAACTGTCAATGGGTTTGTTCTTTACCCAGTTCTCACCAGCCGCTTACAAAAATAACTAGGTTTCCACTTTTCCCCTTTCCAAGCCTTCGAAATTGGTACAAAGGCAAGTTAAGTGGGACCATAAGGCTCCAGAAGGAAATTATTTTCTTCCAAGATAAAAGGAAAGCTTACCACTTTCTTCAAGTTCTATCGGCTCTGCTTCTGAAGCCATTTCTGTGGTAGAAGCTATCAGCCTGTTCCGCTTCTGAGTTTGCCTAGAATTAACTGCTCCTCCACGACGCTTTCTTTGAGTCTAAGAGAGAACAAAGCCTTAGAATTTGCTTTAGAAGTAACATGAACATCAACTTCATTTTTGGAGCACCAAGGAAAGCAGCAAAGACACACAAAACACTTCACTAAGAGGCCACCTCATGCACAAAGTTGTGGGATGGATCTTTCCTGCTCCTCACATGAAGAAAAAGACATCACTACAAATCTCTTCACAAATGGGACACAAAGCAGAAAAAGCTTGCCATGGGTTTGCCAATGAGAAGCCTAGCTCAGAAGTATCTCAGATGGTAGCTTGCTGACAACCACCTGAACCACTCTGAACTAAAGACTCTGCCCACCTTGAAAGCACTTTTGAAAAGATTGCTAATACCCAGAAAGATAAAAAAAAAAATAAACAAGCAGTACAGAACACACTTTACATGGACTCTAACTATGCTTATAGTATAGTGCATTTGCTACAAATTCTTAAAAAGACATATAGAAATACCATAAAACCACACAGTTCAAGAATTAGTTTTGCATTGATTAGTAAAATGCTAATTAGTAAAATACTTACTGTACTCATGGTGTTTCTTGATCTAAAACTACAGAAAAAACAAGAGGTTCAAATACCATAAAATAAACTGCAAGGAAGCTATAAGTTTCAATTCCTTATATTTCTTTAGACAGTACACTTAAAAAGTCCAGATCTCTGTATCTTAGAATGATGTTCTTCCAAACCTATAAGAAAAGAAGAGAGAAGATTACCTATCTGTAGCTCTTGTTCTCTTACACAGACCCACTCTCATGGATTCCTACTCCTGAGTAACTAATTTCTGTCCAGAGCTAGATGGGAAGTCCCAGAGGTTGGGTGGCAGGTTAGCCTCAGCCACCTATGCATAGGACTGAAACCTCTGTCATTCTTTTCCATTTCCTAGAGCAGACACCAGAATAAGCCAGCTTAACTATAAACAAGAAAAATACTAAAGAGTCCCAATTAAGTTTCATTTTAAAAAAAAGAACCGATAGGAACATCTCCTGCAGAGGGTCAGTGTGAGCAGAATTGGGCAAGGTGTCAAAGGAGCTGTCTTCTGAGAAGAAAAATTACAGATAAGCATTTCTCATTTCTCCAGCCCATCTCCAAATTCCAACACATGAGACCTGGAAAGGAATCTAAAGCAAGGGGAGCATGGAAACACCAGTTTGGAGACAGATGAAGCAACAACTTCCCACTGACTAAGAGAACACAACTTTTCAGTAACTCCATAACAAGCATCAGCGTGCAAGCCCCATCCACAGGGCTAACGCTGCCTCCACACATGCCTTGCATCTTGTCCCCCTTAGCGACTAGCTGAGCAGCTGACACACTACCCCAATTCACACCTTACACTTAACCCTCGGTAGAGTATCCAGCAGAAGTCCAGTATCCTGCTCTAAAAAAGTGGGTAGAACCGGGCAGGTGTTACTTGAGGTACGGTAAAGCAAACCTCAATAGGTAACTAGGAAGATGTATACATGTTACTTTAGCACACAGGATCATCTACTGCCTTTGTGATAAAGCAGCTCGACTATGCCAGTCATCTCTAGTCCTTACCAACATAGGAGGATTAGCTCACTGCTACAGTCAGCTCTGGATGCAGAGCAAGCCCAAACTCCTGAAAACTGTGCAACCCCTCGTCTTTAGTTATACCAGGTTGTTTTTATAGGCCATAACCATAGCTGTCTCAGAAAGAGAATGCCACGGGGTCACTGTCGAAGTCAGTCTCAGGTTACAGCTTCAAAGCCAGAACAGAATAATGTCAGATGGCCTGGGGTGATGGTTTCCACGTAACTAGCCTTTTCCAAGCAGGAGCAAGAGGGCATTAGGCAAAACATAACAAGAGCACCGCGGATGCAGAGATGGGTGAGCTAACGGCATACAATAAGACCATAACCACAGATATCATCTTCCTAAAATCAAGGATAAGCCTATCTGAGCACTGCTGAGTTTATTCTGTCTTCCCAAAACTTTATGCTCTCTACTGAAGTAAAAATGAATTCCCCTCTTGAGACTTAGATGAACCCAAGGATTTGTATGAATGTTAGATTTGAACTAGCTGCATATCCAGGTCAGTTTACAAGTCATTCAGATAAATTTCAAAGATCATCCAAGCTTTCCTCATCATACTACCTCACGGGTTTAGGATTATCTGCTCCCACCTCTGTTGTGTTTTTGGTTGTGCTCTGCTTTACAGGTTTTCTCTGGGGGAGTTGAGAGAAAAGGTGACAACACTATGTCAGTTACAAAGATCAGAACTAATTATGAGACCCTTAAGAAACATGGATATAACACAGTGGGATGGGGTGACATTGGTTGCTAATTTTAACCTTGAGTTAAAGCAAGCTTTACTGATTTTTCTTTTAATCTTTTCCTATGCTTCTTAATGGGTCTTAAAGCAAGTGATTTAACACTGAACTGTGAAATTATTGAAACAAGAGGCCTCAAGAATATTTACAGTAGAGTTGATACTTTTACTGAACCAAAAGATAGAAGTGCCTTTGTTCACAATTTAAAGCTAGGCAGTGTGCACTGATTTTTTCTCACACTTTTTTTTTTGTTTTGAAACTGGCACAGAAATCCAAAACGCTAAACAGGAAGGCAACGTTCTTTTTTTAGTTGGACAACTCAATTATGTGCCAGATCTAAGTAAAAGCTTAACAGATTCAGCATTAAAAATTCATCTAGGAAAAGTGCTATTAATCTGTGAGCTATTAGTCTGGCAGTTTCTGGTCACAGTGGACCCAACTGAGATTGTTATAAAAGGGGGAACCCCATAAATAAGAATACCAAAACTGATTAAATTCATAAGATTCCCACTATGTATGACAGGAAACATTTTTAAAATATGTACTGCTGGGTAAAGTTACTCCTTTCTTTTTTCTAGGAAATGACAGCAAATGGCTTAAAGTACTCACATAGAGAGTCCAAGACTAAGGCTCACAGGTTGTTCTGTATGAGAGTGAACAAGGTAATTAACCTTCAGGCTCCTGCTTCCTTAGGAAAAGATTCGCCTGCACATCCAATATAGAGGCACAAGCTGCCTTTACACCCTTCTTTCTACTGCTCTTAAGCTCTAGGTTTCATTTCACCTGTGAAGAAAACAAAGCTTTTCTGTTAGCCACATCAAAATTTTTGGAAGATGTTATTTTACTGACTTGGCTAAATTTTTGGAAGAGGGAGTAAGAACTCTTCAAGCAAGACCATGCCTTGTTTTGCCCTTAAAAACCAGAGCAAGGAGGGCATACAGGAACACAGAAGACTTAAACGCAGCACAGTCACCTTTGCACGTCCAAGTGTCTCTGATCCTACCTGGGCTGCGCTGCTCAAAGACAACAGAGCATCTGCACCAAACAGATGCAACTGAAATCCAAAGTAACTTGGAGAAAGCAGCTTGCCCCACACAACAGAAAGACACCAAAGATGAGCTACGTGGGCTGCACGAAGAAGTTATGCTATTAGAGTCTCTATTAAGTTTAAGATGATTTCATCTAGACAACTGAAAGACTTCTTCCTTGATTCTCCTCAGGATAGCACTGAGGAAAAGTAACTTTCACCTCATTGAAAAGCAGGTAACTGATCAGTATGCACATCTGGCCATTAGAAAGAACAAGGCTTTAAACAGGCAGCCTTTAATACAGTCTTAGATCCATCCACTCTGCTGAAAGACTGTGAGACATTCACTAGACAAAGTTTCAGCATAAAATGCTCAGGCAGTTTTCACAAGACTTGGTGCTTCTTGGACTTAATGCTGAACACACCCAAAGCACAGGTGAAGTGATAAAGCCTCTATAAAAAGGTTAAAGAGGCTGGGGAGGGATTTCTTTGTATTAGTTGTTATAATACAGACACCATATGAGAGGCACATACACTCTTGTGCTCTTCCCCATGCTAAAGACTCACATCTTTACCTTAGTTGGTGAATGCCTTTCAAAGAAGAAAGTGTAAAGAATGGATATCCACTGAGAAGCCCAAAATTGTAAAGTGACCCTAAAACCATCACAGGCTTGCACTGAACCTACCAAATCGCAAGCGTTATACTCGAAGAAAACCAAACTGCTAGACTCTTATGATCTAGCAACTTTTTTCTTGTAAGAACAAATTTCTTCTGTGGCGCTGAAGATTTCCACATGTTCTTAGTCTACTAGGGAAATTTCACTGAAAATTAGTTCTGCAACATACAGGAATGGATAGGAAGAGTAAAGCAAAACTAGGTTTCTTAAAATACTGCAAGGCAAAATCATCAGTGTTCAAGAACAGAGATTAACAAAGCAGTTCCAAGTTTTGCATGTTGAGAGGCATCAATACTATCAATAAAGATTCCTCAAAGATTCTCAAAACCCCATGACCACAATTTAATAATAGCTTTTATTAGTCTTGAATAGTGTAAATTCAATAATAAGTTCTACATGGTCCTCCTCCCGCAGTGACTATAGGATTCAGCAGCAACTGTCTCAAAGCTGGATACAAGAAATGCTCAGACAATAATTCAAAAATCCAGGAATTCCGATTTTTAAATTTTAAGTTTAAAACAAAATGAAAAAAACCCAAACAAACAAAAATACAAGGACACCAATTTGAAATGCAAAAGAACAATTAGCTCAACCTGACAGGCCACTAAATGCTACTAACCTCCACAGGATCTTTATTGCATCACTGGGGGATGATCCTAACCAGGAGAGGCCCCTCCTCTTCCTCCCTGCACAGTTATTGTTCCTGCCACTTAACCCTCCCAAGGCCTTAATGACTGTCACCTCCTCACAACAGAGTTCAAGTTGATTCCGGCTAATTTCATTCTCATTTCTATATTAGGTTTATTCTACTGGCATTTTAAGGGCTAAATCCACCAATCTTTCTCTCAACAAGTTACTACTTCAGAAGCATACGCATAAACTCACCTAAATTAAGGTTTGTTCTAGCAGTGAAAGAATACTGATTCCCCTATTCACGATTTAAGTCTTTAAGCCCCTCCCCAATTTCATCAAACTCAACTCGACTGATTTTACCATGTTAAATTGCATTTTTTAAAATAATTTTAACCCACTAAAGATACGCTTGAATCTTTTCCTATACCTCCCGGAAAAGGTCCTGGGCTCCCAAACATTTTGATCTGAAGCAAATCAGCTTAAGCCAGAAGTCAAACATTTTTGACTGGCATTTTTACCATGTCTGCATGGCCTTAACCATATGAGCACCTTCATATTAAAAATACACTATAGAAAACCTTTGAGTAGTGCAAGTTTTGGGCTGAATGTCGGGCCTATACAAGGCACAGGTGACAAAACACGACACACGCTGCATTAGCCAAGAAAATAGCACGGGCCTCACCTTTAGGATTTTGCTTCTCGCTTCCACTTTTAAGGCATCTCATTGCACTTGCAATATAGGAAACCCGTACCCAAGGGGTAACCATCCAGAGAAGCTCCCCTGCCACCCGCAGCAGTGGCACACAACGTGTCATCACAAAGCACCAGCATTGTTGCTGCTGGCCTGCAACAACCCACCCTGCCATTTTACCCACTGAAAGCTTCCTCCCGTCACACGCATCTCCTCTACTGCTAAACATGTTCTGGCCCTTTTCTTTCCCTTTTTTGAAGCACGCTACGCCAGCCTCAGCGAAAACGGAGGCCGAGTCTGTTACGTTTTACACAAACTAGGCCAAGCGGCTCGGTGCCTCGGCAGGAGGCTCTGTGCAAAGCCCGAGGCCGCGGCCCGTGCTCGCGGCGAACAAAAGCCCCGGCCGCACCAAGCCCCGCGGGGAGCCGCGCAGGGGCCGCACCGGAGGGGCCACCTCGGCCTAGGGCACCACACGGCGC